AAAAAGTTTTATGTATCTCTATTTAAAGTTTGCAGTGTACCAGTTAAAACATACGCGCCCTTGAAACTTTAATTTTAACAGCGTCAATCGATTATTTTGATAACACACTCGATATTTAAATTAACTTCAAGGATTTTATTTTATTTCTTATTTTTTTTAGCAAGTTTTCGATCCTAATCAAACCGAAGTAAAGTAACATGTAAAGAAATCTATAAAATAATTATTAAGTACAACAAAATTAAATCACTTTAAAAAGTAGGTATAGATAACCTGATGATACAACTATTGACTGGCCTGTTGGTCTAGTGGTTAGTGACGCTGACTGCTATGCCAGAGGTCGTGGGTTCGATTCCCACCTAGTACAAATAATTGTGTGATGAGCATGGTCATTTGTTCTGTGTCTGGGTGTACTTTATCTAAAATATGTGTGTATTTAGAAATATATAAGTATGTTTATCAGCAATCTGGTTACCATAGAACATTCTCTGCCTAGTTTGGGATCAGACAGCCGTGTGTGAAATGTATAAAAATATTATTATTATTATTGCGTGCAATAATTAGGTCCTATTAAGTCCTAGTCCTATTTTTTTTTTAAAGAGGGGACAAACAATAAGACGGTCCCCGATTGGAAAGTGACTACCGCCGCCCATGAACGCCTGCAACTCAGGAGTCACTTGCGTTGCCGGCCTTTTAGGAACGAGTACGCTCTTTTCTTGAAGGTCGTATCGGTCCGAAACTACCGCAGACGATAACTTAGTTCTGAGAAGCAAAAAGTGTCATGATGATGTGTGATGTAAAAAACTAAGGAAAGCAACTAATTTGCAATCGATTAAAAAAAACAACTTATTTCTTTTATTTTGGGCATGGCAATAACTGGTACAGTTTTGTCAGGCCAGATATAATAATATAAAAGCAATTTCATACCTTATTAGTTTGAAAAAGAAAATCCACATGAAAATTTATTGTTTTGATGGGAGAGTGACTTCAAAAATAAAGAAAATAATTTAGATGTAATTTTTATCGGAAAAACGGAAATACCGGTACAACTAATGGTCATTCTATTTTACAAAATTTGAATTATGTTTTCGTTATCTTTCCTGTCACCTTCCAATGAACGTGTCGGTCCACGCTAGCAGATATGTATATCACAAGTATATATATATGTATAGGTATGAGTACCAAGGGTAGTATGAGTAGATGTATATAGAGATAGGGATCAGAAACTTTCTTGGTCCTAGACACTCATACGATAATGTAGAGTAGCTTTAATTTGTTTTTCTTTTTGTTGTTTAACTAAATAACTGGTTGGTACCAACTTCTATTTCGAGATTAGTCATTTATCATCGAGTCAATTATTTTTGGAAGATATTAGGAATTTTAACCACGTAATAGAAAGCCGAGCATGTAGTGTCAACACAGACAGTCGCGACGGCCTGTGCAATAGAGTTTTATAAGTCATTTGGAAATGTGTAGTTAAATAAAGAGTCTTAAATCTGTTTGACAGTATATGCAAATAAAAGATAAACACACATACACACTTAATATATAAATAACTACTATACTCACATTAAGAGTTACTATTGTACCGTCATTAAATATAAAAGTGTTTTAATTTATAATAATTTCTCAATATATATAAATAAAACATTAATTAAATAAAATAAAAAAACTAGGTGATTAATATTTCGCCAAGTTACGTATCAAGATTAACGATAAGATTGTTATTTTAATTCGACAAGAATACCCATTTCTTTACATTTGCTTTACTGACGCATTACCACAAGAATATTTAAATGTATGCTTTACTCTAGATACGTAAGAGATACTCGTATATTCGTAGTTACCCAATGTCCAGACGCAAAGCGTATATTGGTCAAACAAAAAAGTCTTGCGTGATTACTGTATTCACCTGAACGCCCATACCAGAATACTAATGCTAAACGACTCTCGGCCAAGGTTTACTAAAAGTACAACGCTAGGCACTTCTTTTGCTCTCATGTTTTAACTTGTTGTAATCGTTTAACATCACCTCTTATAACAATAGGTGTTAAAGTATGAAATTGCTGTTGTATAGTAATACTCGTAGATACTTTGAATTAACTTTAAAAAAATGTGCAACATTCGATTTTCGACTTTCTAATTTTTATATTTAGCTTAGACGATAAAGATGAACACTTCGAAAATCCGAGTCATTTTTGAATACCAGTTCCGACGCGGAACTAAAGCGGCAGGATCAGCTCGAAATATCAACGATGCGTTTGGAGAGGAGACTGCTAATGAACGCACCGTGAGTTTTTGGTTTAAACGCTTTCGTAATGGAAACTTCGGCTTGAAGAACGAACCACGTAGATGAACGCTCACATAGGTGAATAATTCTGAATTGAAGGAGACTAACCAGGGCGGCAATTCTGCTATTTTATGTTTACGCCAAGCCACTGTCATACCACTGACACGCTATTGAGATACCATCGAGTGGCCATTGGCATCGGTATAAATAAGTATAAATATATGTTTTTTGAGGAAATGATTTATTTATTTTAAATTAAAATAATAATAGTTATTCTGTAAGAAAGTGTCTTTTTTTTTCTCTTCTTTTTTAAGTTAGGGGAAGCCTTACGCTCCCAACTCTCTTTTATTACTATGCTTTCCGTGGCAACCTGTAATTAAGGCAGCACTAATGGTTGTATATCACTGTACTTACTCTTTTCATATCAGGCCTAAATCCAAACCGGGACTCATCGAAAAATAAAACTTTATCCCATTGCTTATGGATCCATGTCAAGTGTTCTCTACACCCTTCGTTGCGACAAGTGAGATTCCCATGGTGTATAGGTAGGCATCTAATTGGGCGTCATGCTCGTCAGCCTTTTTCTCACGGTTTGGAAGCTAACTACAACACTGCTCGAGAATTATAGCTTTAAACCTATTTTCCGAGTGTCATCGCTCTATGACAGAAAAAATGACTCACCACTAATTTTTTTGAAAAACTGTATATCTCAAAATGATAAAAGTTAAATAAATACCAAATTTATCAAGCAACGAAACACATGAAATCGTGTAAAAATAATTAACGTTTCTACTTTTAAAATCAGCTAGTACCTATATGTTTTCGAGAACATAAAATATTGTATACCAATCTATTGCACTAAGAAAAAAGTAAAAAATATTTTTAAAGAATATGCAGTTTCTGTAAATGATGTGTGTTGCTTAGACTTTTTTGATGTGTAGTTATTCCCAATTTTGTTGCTGCAGTAGGTAGGTAACCTAAATAAATAACAAAAACGGTCCAAGTCCTCCTTAGAGGAGGCTGCCTGGGTGAGGGATCTCTGGCTCCTACAGGAGCCAGAGATCCGCAAGGATTTTCCACCCCTTAAACATAAAAAAAGGTAATATTTTTTTTTTTTACCACATTGTAGGTGTAATCGATGTGACATGACTTATGCAAAGAACAATGGCAGAAACATATTTACTTAAATCTGAAGCGTTTTAAAAAGTTGACCAACAGTAAACTTAATAAATATTTTTTCTATGATTTATATTTGATTTATTTATGATTTATACCGCCATGTGTTGTATAAGTCTTATAAGAGATAGGATATTTTTAAAGATTTTATTTGACCTAAGTACGTAATGTCAGAATCGCCATCACATATAACTGACTAGGGATGCGTGATGGCATTTTTATATTATTGAACGTTTTATCGATAATCTATTGTTATAACTTTGGCCTAAATATCTATCGAAGGTTCACCTATTACGATTATGAATTTGCTTCTGCCCACGGGTTCATTCGTACGCTACCGTAACTAGTATGGTAGTGACTATATCAACCTAATTATAAATAATTTAGAATATATTTGATCCTTTTTAAAAGATTTTTGCTACACCAAATAAATAGAATATAGTTATTTTCCTAAAGAAAAATCCTAAAACAACATACTACTCAGTGTGATGAGAAAAAGACATTGTAGGTTGATAACGGCACATAAAGAGACATCGATATTTTCAAAATGACGATATGTCTTCGTTTGGATCCTGTCGAGTGCCGTTCTCACTAGTCTTGTCGTTTGACACCTACACGCATGACTTACTTACATACCATTTCTCACACGGCAATTGTAGTTTGTTTGGTTGTTTTATTTTTGTTTATTATTAAACTCTCATAGATGTTTTCCTATTTTTAATTTCATATAATGGATGCATGCTTTAGATTTTAGTAAATAATGTCACGACTACTGGCTGTCAAATAACTAAATAAATGCTTCCGCCTTGTAATGTGAATTGAAGTACATTTATTCAAATTATTATTAATAATTTATTTATTTATAGCTAGTATTACACCTGCTTGGAAAGCGAAGATTTTTTCTATTGTTTACCAATACATGCCAAGAAAATAACTTTCACCCTTTTAGAGATTCGGCTAACACTTTCTACAGCAAAATAGGGTTGCTTATGAGTAATAATAATGATATTAATATTTTCGAATATATGACACACAACGCCATCTAGTGTCAAACAAAACATTGACAATATTTCAGTACTTAACCTCGAAATATTCAAAATCCAATATCTTTTTTCCTAGACTTCTTTCGCTAGTAATTTTGTTATGAGAATGTTCAAGAATAAATTCTCAAGGGTTAAAGGCATTTTTGATATTTAAACGCTGTCATTTCACTTCAAATAAAATTTTGTATGGGGACATGCCATTGTCCTTTATAGCTTGCTAGTTTTAATAGTCTAAGCTATACCGCCAACGTACTGACGGACGGACTGGCGGATATATAACTCTTTTGTTAGGATTACAGAACCCTCAAAACGAAATATTATCATAATGAGAAAATTTAATAATTAATTATGCGAAAGATAGATAGACCAGTTGTGCGAAAAGCGAAATTACACGTACGGATCCTTCATAATTCCTCCTGATTCGCACTTGGTCGGTTGTTTTAAAAGTACTTCTACTTATGAACATAATTACCAACTTAAATATAATGCGTTTGTTATGCAAATATTATTCTATATGCTAAGCCTACTACACCATTTGTGTTAATTAAAATACAACGAAACAATTCGTACAAACCATATTCGTAATCTTTACTGCGATAAACCAAGGTTGAGAAATCAGTTTTGTTCCTGATGCGGTCCATGGCTCTGGTGATGTTTTGTAAATTCTCTTTAAGCTTTGCTGGCACTGATTTATCCAGTTCGTTTATCGTGTATTCTAATTGCCCTGAAATAAATTATTTAAAGAAATGTGAGATAATTTCTCATAAACCAATTTCGCTTTAGAAGTATGGTACAAAACATGTTTAATAACAGCTAATGTGAAAAAAATCAAGAAATGTCATTGAAACCTTGTGTTATGCATTTATAAACATCTCATTACGTAGTAACTCTTTTTGGTTGTAGTTTCTCATACAGCTAGGGATGATTAAACGATAGGTTATAAGTTATATTTCCCTGCAGTAATGTGTTGTGTTTTTGTTATTTTTGTGTCGAAAGATCATAGATCGAGACAGTCGTGATTGCCGTATATGATATGAGTGAAGGCATTTTTATTATTTTTAGTCTGCAAGGCAAAAATGTAATTTACTTTGACCGTTCGTTATTGAACTAAATACTTCGTAACTAAACACAAAAATTGCATATCTCCCTTATATCTATTAGGTATATAGGTCACAAACAAAATATACTCTTTTTTTACTTTTAAATTTTTAAGTAAAAAGAAGTTTTTGATTACGGAATCCTTTACTCGAGCTAGCCACGTACTTCATTATTTTTATTTTATACTATCCAACAAAATCCAACTTTGAGAAGTTTATATCTACATAAATTCAAAGCTATTTGCAACAAAAAAATCTTGAGAAAAAAAATTCTAGGCATAAATATTTAAATGATATAGTTACTTTACATAACAAAATGTAAACTATTATTTAATTAAACATAGTGAATGTCAGAAATGCAGCTTTAATAGGTATAACCTGAAATATGTGATATATAAAATCGTCGTGCTTTCCAATAATGTTCAATTAAGTACCAGCTGCCTTCTATAGCATAATAATATCTAGTTATACTTTTTGTGCTTATACCCCACAACCCATTTGCATAAGCAATATAATTTTACTTACCATACTTTCTGGTTATTTTCTATTCTAAAAATGTTTCTAATTACCCTTCTTGAATTCCCAAAATGGTAACCCGGTTAGCAGCAAAGAGCTTGTCCTAATTAAGTCAGTAGGACCAAATTATTGTAGAAAAAATCCGGACAAGTGCGAGTCGGACTCACTCACCAAGGGTTCCGTACAAATTAGTAGGTACATATTATAAATAGTTCAGGAACTCTAATCTATAACTAAAAAATCTATAACTACTTATACTATTGTGTTTTATAAGTGAGATATTCCTCGATGATTGATTACGTACTTTAAATAAAAACTATAATTTGAATGACGCACGGATGGCGTAGTGGTTTAAGCGGTCGGCACACTACTCACTACTACGCTGAGTGTTATGGGTCCGATCCGATCCGACACTTTGTGTGATACATAAATTGTTGTTCTGAGTCTGGGTGTTCTCTGTGACCGTTTCATGTATGTTGGAAAAGTCCTCCGCAACACAGGATATATTCCTTATGCGGGAGTTTTTTAAATAAATAAATTTAAATTACAAAATATGTATAGTTTTCAGATTTTTCCCTGTACTTGTAGTATAAAATGATGTTACTAACCAAATTTCATAGTTCTAGGTCAACGGGAATACAATAAAAAAAACCCTTGGTATAAACGTCCGTATCGTTTATTTCGTAACTTGCGAGAAGGAGTTTGATTTTAATTTACAGCTTCATGGGGCTGTAGACCTGGGTATGTGGTTTTAATTTCAACTCAATACGCGTTCCAAAGATAAAATATCTGGACAGACAGACAACAACAGGACAACAAAGTGATCCTATAAGGGTTCCGTTTTTTCCTCTTCGGGTACAGAACCCTAAAAATATGAGTGCTTAATAGGCCACTGCCTACCTCTACAAAAATATAGGTGTAAGTATGTGTGATGTATATTAAATCTATCATGTAAATTTAATGTAATGTACATTTACTATTTATTAGACATATTAACGTCGGACATTTTAGTCAGGTTACCTAAGTAGATACTACTTAAAACATTATATTCGTATACCTCTGGCTATCCCCAAAGCGATGTACCATTCAGGATCTTTCGACGGTTTCTTCTCATAATACTTTAATAACTTATCCAATGTTATGGATATTCTATACACTTTCGGCACATTGTATATAAAATCCTGTGTGTCAAAATATGGATAAATGCCAAGAACACCAGCTAAAATCACTACTATTAAAAAGGCGATATGTTTTGTGTACATTTTGATAAAAACTGCCTATATGTGCTGCTGAATAGTCACAATTATAATAAAAATACGACGATATGGTGTTAACTGATTGGACCATTTGTTCGCATTTTATTGAAGCCTACCGCCGTTTATACCTCTCTCAGCTTTCCCCACTTGGTGGTTACGCGCGGTAGGTAATCAATATATTCAGGTCAATTGGCTCGAAGTACAAATCGAACTGCCTAAGCAATAAATGCATTGATTTAATAAATAGCATAGAAAATGTAGTTAAACCTTTTTTCTGCAATTTTATAAAGAGTGAAAGCTCAAAATTTTAAGTTGCATAAAATTAATTTGAAATAGGGACTAATATCCAAGATGTGTCGCCTTGGAAAATTATAAACTACCTGTACCTTGTCACCTGTGATGATGATCAACAAAGAAGAATCAGGACTGCCAAAACTAAATCAAATGTTTTACGATTGTTGTTCTCGCAAAATAAAACGATAATCATTAATTTTATTAGTCGTGATTGCAATAATATGTAATATAAGCCTACTTCTAAAATGAATATTTTTTAAATTCCCTAAAACATCATCACAATTCACATTTAAAGGCTGTTTAAGATTTGCGACACAGAATCTAGTTTAAAAATTGTAACCGTACATCATGCAGGTATTATCTAATTGCAATGTCGTAATTAATATAATAGTAATTAATATAATTATAATAGTGATGTATTCTGTTAAGCACTGAAAAATAAAGATGCTATTCGAATGCGAGTTAGACCTCGAAAGTCATACTGAGAGGGGCGACATGTGGTGTTAAGGAAAGGGCGCGATCACACCGCACCGGCAGACAAGTCCGACTGTTGCACTTGCTTTCACGTATTTTTTGCGATGCAGAGAATTGTATCGGTGTTGTTCAGTTCTCTCTATCGTGTCAGTGAAAAAATCTGTAGTAAGAAAGTGAGGTTGTGATTTAATTGCTATTTTCTATGACAAACTATGGCTGTGTCGCATCAGTGGTTCGTACAGTGGTCCGCGCCTCCGTTGCTTTTAACAGATATATCTAGTCGTTACAATAACGTGAATGAACGTTGGAAAACTGAAAACCCTCAATGGAGTGGTGATTGGGGGATTCCGGAGCAAAGTGATGACAAAGTGAAATATTATTCTAATCGTGATAATTATATAGAACATAATAAATATGGGAGAGTCAATAATAGATTCAAGAATGATGGTGAGTTCAAAATATATTAGAGAAATATTTTATTTCAATCGAATGTTGTAAAGTATCATTCATTTCATTTTCTTTTATCAAGTTTTATAGCCTGCGTCATTGAAACTGGTAATAGATGAGCAAATTGTTATTTTATTAATTTTGTCAACATTCATAAATTATGACGTTAAACAAAAGAAGTACCGCAATATCCATCTGATTCTTTGTAACAGAACGCATTGAGTCATTTATACAAATTAGATACAGTTTCCAAATATTTCCAATAATATTATATATTTCAGAATTACTAGAATAACTTACATAATATATTATGCATTTATATTACAAAACTATATATATAACAAAGTAACTATGTAAAATGTTTTAAATATATTTGTATGAAAACAGTTCATAACTATTTTACTCGAATTATAACTATAAAACATGGACAATCTAGAGAATTGACTCTTTAAAAAATTGTTGTTATTTAAATGACTGTCTTCTTCAAACATTGATCAATAATAACTTTAAATGGCACAGCCATTCAGTTTTGTGATTTTTTCAAACTTTCAATTCTCACATTTATCTATTTTTTACATTGTAGATATTCGAAGTTTATCTTTCGAAATCGAAAAACTCCTCAAACCAATACACAACTTTTGGCATCTCATACCATATATTTTTCTTATCTGTAATAGGTATAATGCAGTTCATTGCAAGATGAATCGAAACGAAACTCGTCATACTAAGAAGTATAAAATGAACTGCTATCAAGTTAAGGTAGATAGGCTGCATTTATGCTATATTTTATCGAAAGAATATAAATATTACTGACATCTGTCACACAACTTCCTCTAGTTTCAAACTAAGCATAACCTTACGGACCAAAATAACAGATCAAAGTTTGAATAGTAGACTAGTCATTTGTCAAGTTTATTTACACCATTTTGGTAAAAAGATACACTAAACTTTGGCAAAGGACATAGGCTCCATTTTATCTTGACAAGAAACTTGTAAGGTGATAAAATAGAGGCCCAATAATTGATAAAGTTTTGCGATATAACATTGTATCATATGCCTGCTTATTAATAAGTTCATATAAAAGCGTTCACTTTAGATGGTGAGGTAAATTTTTATCTATGATCCAAAGTTTTACGGCTCAAGAGTTGATTTTTGCTACAACCGTGACAGAAGTGGATCGACAGATGATGAATTCTCCCTTTTTTTATGTGAGAAGGGGTAGACGAGCAGACGGGTCATCTGATGGAAAGTTACCATCGCCGCTCATGAACATCTGCAACTCAGGAGTCACAAACGCGGCCTTTTAGGAAGAAGTACGTTCTTTTCTTGAAGGTTTGAAGGTCATATCCATCCGCAAATACCGCAGATGATAACCTATTCCACAGATTGGTTGTGTGAGTCAAAAAGTAGTAGTAGAGCGCCAACTATCCAGGATGAGGATGAAAATTTTGCCGTGTAGAACGATGGCGGAAAGTTGCGGCTGGTATTAGTCGGAATAATTCCTCCCTTATACAGCTGAAGGTGGTGGGCCGGAGTGAAATACTGCCTCGATCTGTTCAGCACACGGAGCTTCTTCGACGCCAAATGGACCTTACGCTCTAAGTGACCCCGAAACTAGACTTCGCTCGATATGTCGATGCCTCGGATTCCGATACTGCAGTTAGTGAGGTGCATCAAACCGAGGTGATACAGACCTGTGTCTTTGGGTTGAACTGGACTAGATTTAGTCGGCCCCAATCTGAAACCTCCGCTAAGCAAGTTTCAATTTCAGACACAAGTTTGTTTCGACTGTCGATAACGTTTTCCCGAGAAATATTGGGGCGGCCGGAGTAAAAGGCATCTCCCGTGCTATCTTCTGCATAGCAATAGATGCTACTAGTTTGCAACATGTCATTGATATGCAGAAGAAGCAGTGTGGGTGATAGCACACAGCCTTGCGGGACACCAGCATTTACGAATTTCAAGTCTATGCACCATCGACAGCAACCTTAATGCTTCTGTCCGCAAGGAAACTCGTGACCCAATTACTCAATTACCCACAGGAAGGGCCACACAAGACGCACTCTTAATAAGGACACAGCTCACATGGCACAGGTAACGGAATCTTCCATAGTATATTTCACAGGACTAAAAGATCCCTCTTTTTTGCGTTGAAAAATAAGATTAATGATTTTGTCGGGGTAACTGTGAGTTCTATCTATCTGTGTATGTCCGTTTTATAGTATACGAGTATCACAAACAAAAGCACCGAATTTAATTTCTGTTTTAATGTTGTTTTAAAGATACACGTCATTTTAATTCAATTCGATCGAAATTGGTTTTTGTATAATTCAACAAATATTCATCCTTATGAAGATTATTGCTCATTCTTATTCATTTAAAGGGCGCAATTAGTTTTACGGGTCAAACCCGTTTGAAACATAATACCTATGTGATTTAAACAATATTAAGGTAATCGTAACTATAAAAACATGCAGCAGCATCATCTGAAATCAGCAAAACTTTCAACCACCTCATACTGCAGGCATAGATAACAGACGAAACTTTTTTTATGAGATATTCCCAAGGATGCCTTTTTTATTTATACTTGTAATTACAACATCAATAACATTATTATATTACTAAACACTTCATTAATTTCCTAATACACAACTAGGAGCTAGTCGAACTAGAACAATAGATTAGACATGTAAAACTACCGTGGCCATTGACACGATGGCGGTTCATGTATGTATTATATCATGGCATAAAAAGTGAAGACAAAATTCAAATATCAATCAGTCCCACTCTAATCTATACATGCCTCGTTCATCATACATACTTGAAATCTATTGTTTACTACTTAACTAGCGATTACTTAACTCGTGCCAAACCATGATCAGTGCTTCTCGATAAAAGCGTCGGTGTCTATTTCTTTTTTCCTGAATATTTTTCAAACTTGCTGAAGCATTTATTAATTTGATATATCTAGGTTAGAAATTAGAGTTGAAAGCAACAGGATTGTATATCTACCTGTTGGCAAGGTTCTGGTTGTAATTCAATCAAGTAGAACAAAAAATTGTGCGTTTCGGTTTCAGTTTTGTCTCCGTATTAAACTTTCTTTTATTCTTGAGATGAGATTCGAGGTTAAATTGAGTGTTATTAATTTGATACGACTAAATTACATATTGATACACAACCCGTCTGATAGCAATGGTCTTTAAACTCTGTTCTATATTCTACAGTAGAGCCTGAGCCGCAATGAAATCAATAATTATAGCCAGCGAGATGGACATATTCTGTAGTGCTCTGTGGGAATTCACAAGGGTAGCATTGAATGTTATTTGTTACAATATGAACGTGTAATACAAAGGATCCATCGGTCTGGTGGGTCGGTGATCGTGGATTCGATTCCTTCCGGTACGAGTTGTGTGATGAGCGGGATAGTTTGAGTTTCGAAGTATATAGATATTTTTGTCGGCGGTCTGGCTGCTATGGTACGGGCGGAGCCTGGTTTGGAATCGAACGGTCCTGTATGGGATGAGTGCTTTATTCCAACTTTTCAAAGCCCTGAGTTAAACACACACAGAATTCCCGAAGGAACGAGCAGAAGTAAATAGACCACAGCTTTCCAACTATAAAGCTATGTAAATATAAATAAATAAGTATATTAAACATGAATAAATTATGAGTATATGCAAAAGTTGGTGATACAGAAAATAAATGAAAGAAAAGGGATTGTCTGTCAATAACTGCATAACTTTTATTTAAAGTTAAGCACTTACTTCACGTAAAAACAGTATTAATCTCTGTTAGATTGATTTGTTAGTTAGCTTGTGATTCAAGTAAGAGCTACCTACTAAATATAAACTCATCATAAAATATATTATGCAATTCTTTAACGATCAAACCATAACAAAAATGTTTATCCGTCACACAACATTTGTATAAATCTGCTTCTAAAAAACCATATTAACAAAAAACGTATTACCTAATGTACTCTCCGAGGCTTTTCCATTGTTTGTGGGAAAGAGATTTTGTTTAAATAAAAGGCCATTATGAACTTTGAAAATACCATGAAAACCATGTTTTAATATTACTAATGCCCTAACTAATTATCAGGCCAGAACGTGACGCTTTAAGATAAAATTTAAAGAGGACTTTACACTCGTACTTGCTTAAAGTTACACACACACACAACACAGTTTAAAAAATGAGTAATAATATAGTGCTAAAAATCTAGTAGGTATCTAGGAAAATTTGGATCTAGGAAATACTGTTATTTATTCAAATGAATGTTTTAACGATCTATTATACTGAAATTAGTTTTTTTTCATTACATTGAATCTTAGTGATTAAAAATACGGCAACTGACCTCGGAGAGTAATCATACTAGTGTTCTTAGAACATTCGGTAATTATATTTATAAACAAATTCGCAATAATCCAGCCCGCCAGTTTATCTTTGTAAAGAAAGAAAATCTTGTTTAAACTTAAATTTAAAATATTAATTCTCTCTTATTCTGTGTTTGTTTTAGCTGTTGCTCATAATCTCACTTGTGTTTATGATTACTGTTCTGATCCTAAGAAAAATAGTATGAAACCTTCCTAAAGGATGGGACTATAAAATTCAACCAGTAATTTCAGATAAGCTCGTTTAGCCTCTAAAAAAATAACTTCATCACACAGATTTTACCAGTTTGTGGCTATACGTATTTCCCTTATTTTACAATGTGACTTATTAAAAATATTTTATTTGTGTAAATTAAATCCTAATTTAACATCATCATCATAATCATAATCAGCCTATGGCAGTCCACTGCTGGACATAGGCCTCTCCCACTGCACGCCACTTAGATCGATTTTGGGCTTCTCGCATCCAGCTCCTGTTTAAAACAAAATGGTAATGTTCCTCAAATTAACATCATCTAGTTCATTTTCACACTTTAACTACTTTTCATCATGCTACTTTTGAAAACATTTATCCAAAATATGATAAATGTTTTCAAAAGTAGCGAGAAG